CAAAACCAGTTTTCTCCCTCAGCGGCGCGACGGACGACGCCGCCATGCCAACCGGTCCTTGCGCGGTTCGAAGCTTGCCGCCTGAGCCCGTAGAAGAAAGGAGCCATTGGGAGGCGGCATAGATAGTGACGTTGCGATGCCATGACAAAGCGCAAACCGGTTCTCCGCGCGTTTTTCTTGTTCAAAAGGGCCGTAGCGTTGTTTCGTTTCGTCTGCTATCCCTATCCAAATATGCCTTTCCCGACGGAGCGGTTCCTCGAAACTGTGCGGCTATTGCCCTTTTTCTATGTCAAGACGCAGCCAGACTACGTAGATAAGGACGCCAAGAACAACCGCTGGGAAATATAGGCGAGGAATTCGAAATTACAAGTGAGTTTCTCCGTGGCACTTGTTGCATGTCGCGTGTGTTGTGACGGATTTCGCGTTGATTTGGTGACGCTCTCGAAAGTAGCCTTCATCTCTGGCGCGCCACCAGGGCAGCAAAGCACTGACCTGCCCTTCGGTGTTTCGGTGGAACCAACTCGGCCGGACCCGAAACCTGCGCCTCTTTCCCTTCAGAGCGCGGCGACGTCGCAAGATGAACGAGGAGGCTAGGATGATCACATTCACGCTGATCACCAGGTCATCATGAACACCTACCATGTAGGCAGCAAGTGCGGTTTCGATGCTGACATAAGCGAAGCATCAGAGCCGAAACGAAAGAATCTAACGGAGACCAGACGACGAAAGCGCGGGAAATCCGACGGGAGGCGCGATTGCGGGAGCCAGTGCTCTCACGTGACGCCAGCAAAACGGAGGTCAATGCGGCTTCTTCGCGCTAGGACACCGGACGGCTGTATCAGCATTTGATTGTGATCTGATAAAAGCATGTGTTTCTGTACAGTAGTGCATGCCCTTGTCGAATGAGATGAAATTGTAAGTGTTTCTGTTTAATTTCTTGATTAAATTTTTATATGGTGCCACAATAATATACTTTGTTCTCCATTGTTATGTATCTGTATTTATGTATTGTGTCAAATATAGTGTAACCTGCGAGGGCCTGAAAAAGACCTTCACTATTTTAAATAAAAAAATTAATACACACCTCCGTTCCTGGAACTTCCCAAGCATCAAACTAAGTAGGGTGGCGTGTAGCTACGATAGAGGTCTGGCTGCAAAGTCAGCACTTTAAAAAAAAAAAAAAAATCCTTACTTGGGACCCGCTTGTATCGTAGTCGAAATTGGAAAAACCAAGCAGCCTTAGTTTACACAGGAGTCGCAGAGTTTTGGATTCTCAATCGTGCCCGTCACACTTCGCATGCTGTCCTCACTTCGCCGTCAGGACACTTGATTCAAATGGGCAATGATTAATTGGTTTAACTTCTGAAATATTCTACGCTCTCGGTCCGGATTGGCGAAAAACGCTATATTATGTTATGAGCTGATCAAGAGGCAAGACAGATGATGATCAGTCACCTGCTAGGCAAGAGGGTCAAAAGCAAGAGCGGTTTAAAGATCGCGGGGCCTTCGCACGAGATTCCGAGCACCAGACTTCGTCTTCTTTCCTCAAAATACTTAGGATAAATTTTGTTTTCATCATAACTTAGCTATACTCGGTAAGATATAGTCACCTTAATTTTTTCAGGCGTCTCACAGCCTGCGAAGGATCGCGAAGTTTTGCACTGCTAAGGAACAGGACAATGCTCAAACCTATGGCAGCGATCACACACAAAGAAAAGGTATGAACAGATGACAATTGAAGGTTAAACAACGTTTTAAATTTTGAGACGGCGGCAAAAATGAAGGACAAACACAACGTCTGCTAGTGCGTTTTACAGCAATCTCTGTTTCGTCTCTTCCCACCACGGGAAATTACGTCTGTTGTTGATGTTGTTGTCGATGTTGTAGTTGATGTAGTACGGCGAAGGGTGTCCGTCATCAATGCTGCCCAACTCTTTAAAAAAGTGAAAGCCCTGTAACGCCGAATTAGATCGCAGCTCTTGAGGAGGAGGAGGGAAGGGTACTGGGGGGGGGGGGGGGGTTCAAGTGACCTGGGGGGGGTCACGTGACGATGCCGATGATGCCATCAGTGATGTCACTGATGACGTCATCAGTGACGATGACGATTCGGCTTCCGATGACGTCATCAGCAATAATGACGATGACGATGCGGATGTCAGTGACGTCATCAGTGACGTCACTGATGACGTCATCCGTAATTATGACGATGACGATGCGGATGCCGGTGACGTCATCAGTGATGTCACTGATGACGTCATCAGTGATGATGGCGATGACGATGTGGATGCCGGGGACGTCATCAGTGACGTCACTGATTGACGTCATCAATGATGATGACGATGACGATGCAGATGCTTGCTGGTGACGTCATCAGTGACGTCACTGGTGACGTAATCAGTGATGATGATGATGACGATGCGGATGCCGGTGACGTCATCAGTGACGATGACGTCATCGGGGAGGTCGCGTGACCTCGGGGGGGGTCACGTGACCTTGGGGTGACCTTGGGATGACCTTGGGGGTCACGTGACCTTGGGGTGACCTTGGTTACGCCGACGCCGACGGCGACGCCGACGCCGCTCAAGCCGGGAACGGGCCCCTAAGAGCTGCGCTCTAAAATATCGCCCACAACCCGCGGGATTCGAACCTGGGTCCGCTGTGTGCGAAGCGGAGCCGTGCACACAAAGTTATAGGGCGTAATTTTAGAGCGCAGCTCTTAGGGGCCCGTTCCCGGCTTGAGCGGCGTCGGCGTCGGCGTCGGCGTAACCAAGGTCATCCCAAGGTCACGTGGCCCCCCAAGGTCATCCCAAGGTCACGTGACCCCCAAGGTCACGTGACCCCCTGTAGTCACGTGACCCCCGAGGTCACGTGACCCGCCCCCCGAAGTCACGTGGCACCCCCAGGTCACGTGACACGCCCAGGTCACGTGACCACCCCCAGGGTCACGTGACCCCCGCCGAGGTCACTTGACCTCCCCAATGACGTCATCGTCACTGATGACGTCACTGGATCCGCATCGTCATCGTCATCATCACTGATGACGTCATCAGTGATGATGACGATGACGATGCGGATGCCGGTGAGGTCATCAGTGACGTCACTGATGACGTCATCAGTGATGATGACGATGACGATGCGGATGCCGGTGACGTCATCAGTGACGTCGCTGATGACGTCATCAGTGATGATTACGATGACGATGTGGATGCCGGTGACGTCATCAGTGACGATGACGTCATCGGGGAGGTCACGTGACCTCGGCGGGGGTCACGTGACCCTGGGGGTGGTCACGTGACCTGGGGGTGTCACGTGACTTCGGGGGGGGCATCCGCATCGTCATCGTCATCATCACAGATGACGTCATCAGTGACGTCACTGATGACGTCACCGACATCCGCATCGTCATCGTCATCATCGCTGATGACGTCATCGGAGTCCGCATCGTCATCGTCACTGATGACGTCATCAGTGACGTCACTGATGACATCATCGGCATCGTCACGTGACCCTCCAAGGTCTCGTGACCCCCCCCCCAGGTCACTTCACCCCCAGTACCCTTCCCTCCTCCTCCTCAAGAGCTGCGCTCTAATTCGGTGTTACAGGGAGTTGTAAACGGCTTTCACTTTTTTGTTTGATTGTCTTGGGAACAATACACACGAGCTACGCCACAGCGTTAACAACCCGCTTTACACTTATGGCTTCTGTGGCACCCGATGACCAATGCAGGCGCTGTCTGAAAAAAAATTAAAAAAAACTGCTAATTAAAAAATGCCGTTCTGGCATTGTAAATGCCAAGAGCTCCTGCCGTTAGCTACAGAACACAAAACAAAATCGCTGGAGACAAAATGTTCAGATGTCTCTTTTGTTCCGAACGCTTTCGTTCGCACACCCCACGATGCCTTAAAGCGATGCTGATGCCCAAGGAGTTCGCCGTGACGTGACGCAGCTATCTTTGTGACAGTAGTGTGGCATAACACAGGACTGCTAAATTGTGTGTTGCTTCCGTCTGGGGCTTTAGTACGTAGATTAACAACCAAACCACCTGCCTAATAATGTTGTCTTCAATGTTAAATAATTTGAGAGCACAGTCGCAACAAGATTTAACGGTAGTTACGGTTTACTGGGTACTTCCCAAAGGGCAGGTGGAGTTGTCCGTAGAATCCATGAAAACGGCAAGGAAAAAAGATTTCATATGTAAAAGAATTTTTATATCTTCTTTTTTTTTACAGAAGAGATGGGATTTTGTTTACTGAAAGATTTGTTTTAAAAATGTTTTCCCAATACTTGAGATATAAAAGTGTATGAGCACCACAATGCACCCCACCTGTTCTCTAAAAATAACCCGCTTTATTCTGAAAAAACATCTCGTGGAAGGCGTCACCTGTTAATAATATAATATATATACAGTGTTAAATGGCGTGTTTAGAAAAGTAGCGACGAGGAAGTGTTTCAAGGTACGGAGCTACAACAAGTTGTATTATTATGAGTTGTCTTAAACGACTCGCTTTCGTCAAGGTAACTTAAACCCCACAAAAAAAAACGACGCCTAAAAATGTTTTGCGTGATAAAATTGTGCATACGGCGATACAAACACAGTCGACAGACAGAACGCTAAACAGAGTTCTTCTAAAAAAACTCAAAAGATTCTTTGAGCAGCACGGCCACAAAGAGCAACCAAACTAAAACCAAATAGCATCTAACCCGTAAGCCATTAACGCGCAGTTAGTACCTATCTGCCACAGATAACTGAAGTTCTGACTCCCTCGCTACCGCTCAAAATAAATCCGGCCGGGAACAAGCGTTCACCGGCGCAAATGAAATGTCCCGGAAAACAAGTCTTATCTGTCGCTTCCGTCTTCGAGTCCGGAGCTGTCCGAAGCCTTTGAGGTCAAAGCGTTCTGTCGACTTGGTCTAGTCCGAGGTCGTCGACTGGTTGGCCGGCGGGCCGACGAAACAGAACAGTCACACGCGCACAAACCCTTCCAAGAGTTGGAAACAAAATGCCCGCAGGCGAACACGCTGCCAAAGACAAAGGCGCGTCAAAAGGGAAACACGGCACACGGGCCACAGGCCGAAACTGCAAAACTCCCTCGGCCCTTAATCATGAATGATTCAAAATCTCACAAGTCATGAATGTCGCAAGCAACCAGCATCTTTGGAACACTCGGGGTGTCGCTGCCCTCTTCCTGTAAAAATCTGTCGCTTGTGTAAATTACGGTTGCCCCTAAAATTGCAATACAAAATTCTAAAGGAGCAATGGGCAATGCCGAGGTTCCAGACCAACCTAGAATTAACTAATGCATCTTGTAAACACTAACCTGCGGCCAGGGCCTCCGACCCAGCAACCTTTCCACCAAGAGCGAGGTCATGGAGGTTCTGCACAAAAGCAATTCCTTCACAACAAAAAAAAATGTACACCAGGAATGACATTAACTAAGTCGTGTCTAAAAAGACTCCCCAGGGGAACGAGCGTACAAACGTTCTCGTTCTGGCGGCATAGTTGTGCTGAGCTCATGCCAAAGATATTATCAAATGAGGATGGAAAATTACAGAAGTGACTGTGAGAGCGACAAACAAGTGCGTACGCAAGAGACGAACAAAGCAACGTAAATAAAACTCCCAATTCCACTAAATGTCATGACACGCTCGATGTATGTTTAATGTGGTGCTCTCCTCCAAAGACACGATAGGGAAATGCCCACAAGGTGCAGGGTACGCTCACGAATTTTCTCTCTAAATGACTAGCTGTGCCATATTCTGAATGAGGATGGTGACCTTCTTTGGTTAAATAAAGTTCTGAAATAAATTCGAAGTATTTTTGTCGGTTTTCTTTTTAAAACGAAGGGACCAATCACTGCTTACACACGTATATTATTTCACATTGTGCAGTTCATGTCAAACTCTAGTACCTTGCAATCCACCAAAAATTAAAAAAAAAAAATATCGCGCGTCGTGTTAACCTCAGTTTTTTTTTTGTTTTTTTTTTCATTTAAGCGCACGAACAACAATAATAAAAGTAATATACCATTAATTTTGAACTGGCAGTTAACCTAATCAGAGAAATTCAGCTAAATTAGAAAGCAGTCAAAATTTGAATTTCAGCAGCAAAGGCTGACGACAAAAATTAACTTGTTTCTTAGAGTACAGTTGTTTTTTTTTTTTAGACGGGGGCGAAGCTTGCACACAACGACTCCCTGTTCCTGCTTCGTTTTGAGCTGCGCCTTGCACTTGTTCCCTAGGCGTTTCGCGAACCCCCGCTTTGCCGAGCACCCCTTGGGATTGCAATCCACATTTTATAGAAGCACTGGCATTATGTGTTCAAATTAAACTACGCTCGTTTCATTCACTATTCAATTTTTGTATAATGAGTTTCTCTCTCCCTCTCTAACACCCTCAATTTCCCTCGCTACCCATTTTATTCCCTCAGGAGAAGTTCTCTTGAAAAATTGCACGTTTGCCTGGACAGAAGGCCAGGGCCCCGATGCCAAGTCACTGCTCCGCGGAATTTCAATGAATGTCCAATCAGGCGCTCTCGTTGGCGTAACCGGCTTTGTCGGAAGCGGCAAGTCGTCCCTGCTGGCGGCCATCTTGGGAGACATGCACCGTCTTGAGGGAAGCGTCAGAATCTCGGTACGAACATCCCACGTTATTAGGTTTATTTAAGCCCCGGTCACACTGCTCATATGTCATGAAATCGCTGTGTTTGCTAAATGCACGGATAGAATCATCTGCGGACTCGCAAGCTTGTTCAGGACATGTTTTCTTCTGACTTATGCTTCAAACATGTCTATAGACAACTTGCGCATGACTGATGCAATATCGGAATCATTTGTTTTGTCTGTAGTTTTCGTGTAACGTTTATTTCATCATTCATCTTCGCGTGGCAGGCGGACTACAAAAAAAAAGAAATAGCCCAGATACAAAAGTCGTGGTTATTTAAATCAGGCGGCAAAAGGGGCCTTTTTCTAACTGGTTGTGGTGGCCCACTGCGACTAACCGGTCAAGTGCGTCCCACGAAATCATGCATTCTAGTCTACCACTTGGCTTGACCTCGGGGTAACGTGTGGTCACGCCGTTGCTTTATGAACGCGAGCAACCAGTGGAGGGTGTCGCCTAGTCGTGAGGCAAAACAAAATTTGAGATTTCTTTTGTGAGGCGAAAGCTCAGTGCGGCGAGACGGATTCTGTTACGCCTCATGGTCCTTGCGGAATATGACGGGTCACATGCAATCTTGCAATGCATTGGCTGCTAATTTTCTGAATTTTTGACACTTCATTGACTTCTTTCGAAATATGTTCAACATACTAATAGACAAATACGAACTAGTAACCCAAATTACAGGTCACCATAAACTTTTTATGGAATATTTTTTTTTTCACTTTGATCTTGGAGTCGAACGCACTAAAGCTTGTTTCCTATGGGTTACAAAAAGCTTTATGGTATGACATAAATAATGCAAACTTCACACTAACAAAAAAAAATACGCGCGAAATTTTATGTTTTCGAACGCCACTGTAAAAAAAGAGGAATCAATGATAAGCTCGTTAAGAAAAAACGTCATGCACTAATGATAAATAGACGCAATTATAGGAAACACAAATTCATAAAACCGATGGCAAAGGGCAAGTGTCACGGCCGGGGTGTCTGAAGCTGCACAAGTGTAATATATAATGAAATAAAAAAAGAAAACCAAAAATCTATGTAATGAAACAGTTAATTTACAATTATTGGTTAATTAGTAAACATATTTTGATGTTTATCCACCTGCCTAAAGTCCGTCGAGCCCTACATTCATACAGTGAAGACGGCATCCACATATCTTTCACCTTCATTTTCCTTTACAACCCATTTAAAATTACACAAAAAAAAACTATATATATCACAAGAAGTTTTTGTCGTCAATTCAGCTGTCTAAAGAGTCAGTTTTGCAAATGCATGAACAGTACTCAACAATGAGAAATGAAACGAGAAAGCGCAGAAAAGTAAATAATAAAATATAAACTTCTGCGAAGTCGAGAATTGAACGTGGGCCTCCTATTAGCCGTTGGGTATGCTGAGCTGATTAATACGATTTCGCGAAATGTTCAGCCCTAAACTGACAGTGCAGTGGAAGCCGCATGTTCGTTTGACCAGTCAACTGTCAATTTTGCACAACGTGATCAGCGCCTCTCCGCATACTCACGCGGGGAGAGCAAGGCCAAGCGATAAGAGGCTTTAATAGTTGGCGAACAAGTAGCTTGCACCACACTGTCAGGCGTGAACGGAATATAGGACATGCAAAAACCTAAATATATGTGCCGTATTTTCCGGGCTGCCATCTGCACCCGGTGTATATATAGTCCGCAGGGGCAAATCTGGGGTCGAAAGCAGAAGTGTTTGCTTATAGATAGTCCACACACGGTGCATAGTCCGCGTGCCGTGCATAGTCGGCACCTGGTGCTTAGTCGACAGGAAAACCTTGACAAATGTCTGCTTTCTTAGCTCACGAAGAAGCGCGTATTATACACAAATCATCGTTATCATACTCTTTCACTCACAAATACGTCACGTCTCCTCATAATGAACGAGCTTGACAAACAAAATTCGTGTATAGTCCGCACGCGTGCATAGTCCGCACAGCCTAAAATTTCATATTTTAAACGTGTATAGTCCGCGGACTATAGCCCGAAAAATACGGTATAAAAAATACGCACACTGTTATATATAAAGCCAGAGCCAGCAGCGAGCTGCAGAGTGGTTGCTTACAATAATTAACCCTCCCAACAGTTTCAAACATTTCCCGTCAAATTACGAGGGCGGGTAATATCTTTGTGTACCTTTTCGAGACTCGTGAATCGAGTGCACTGTAAACTTCCGTTTTCGAAGCCGCTCAAACGTCGTTCAATGACATTACATAGTCACAAAGTTGTTAGCCGCTCACTTACGTTGTCTGGCTGCACGAATGTTGCTGCAAAAACAAACACAGAAACTAAGCTTTCATAAAAGCTCGCACTCACGAGTCCTCCTAGTATGTAAAAGGCGCAGGGCTCTGGGTAAAGGCGCCGCTGCAGCACGTTTAAATAAACACGTGCATACTATAAAGGAAACAGAACGTGCTGAAAAGGAACACCAAAAGCGCGACGTTTCGGTGGACGCCCGCGTTCTCAGACCGCGGATTTCGAACACGCTCGAACGCTACCACTCGCGCATGGGGTTTCCGTCTTCAACCGAAAGCACTCGAACCGCGAACCTGGAGTAATATTAGATTTCAGTAAGTAAGCAAGACATTGCAAGGATAAAGTCCCATTGCTTACCTTGAAGTGGGCGATTTAGTCGTCGATGAGAGCTAATGAGGCCTGATGCATCACAAAATGGTAGAATTAACGGATTACACTATGCACCGACCACGATGTCAAGAGCCACCGAGGGAAGTTCGACGAACGTCCGACAGCGATAGCTGTGACAACGTCTGTCTGCGGCTGCGCTGTCCGGCGCACGATACAGAGCAAAACAACAGAGATAGGAAAGCGCAGGCGACACCAACCAATGCGCGGCGGGGACATTCAACTCCTCGCCATCTGCGCATGCTTGCACTCCTGGGATTTTGGCTTTTCTGCAAGGCTCGGCTCTCACGCCGAACAAAAATCGAGGGCATCCTCGTATTTTGAAATGATGAGCGTGCCCGTCTTTTTTGACATGGGAAAGACACGTAAAATTGACGTCGATTTTTTTACAGTGTACAATAAAGCTAGGTCGCGTGACATCAGTGTGTGACATATTGGTGTTACCTGACAGCACAAGCTGACGCCGTTGCGTTGTCACGAGTCTGGTGTCATGAGGTCACATCACGGTGATGATTCAATGTAGTCATCCTTACGCCGAAGATGTCATGTAACCGTCGTCTTCTATGAGCCGGTGAAGCCTCGCCCACCGAACTTCACATTTCTTTAACGCACTTTCATAACGCTGGAAAGTGCGGAATCCTCTCCTGCGAGGTATTTTATGTTAAAAATCACTTCAACCTCGTTGAAAACATGCCACGGGCAAGTGCCTCAATAGTACGATTCATAAAAGTAATGCCTGGTCTGTTTCAGGGCAAGATTGCATACGTTCCACAGGTGGCGTGCATTTACAACATGACCGTTCGCGACAATATTCTGTTTGGTCAGAAGTTTGACCCCGACCGTTACGACAGCGTGCTCCAGGCCTGCGAACTTCTAAACGATATCTACACATTCGCTGCTGGCGACCTGACCGAAGTTGGAGAAAAAGTAAGTTATAATTGCTGAGAGTGGAGACGCCTGGTAAAAAGCAGTACAGAATGAGTGTAGTAAAAACCTACCAGTGTACTTAGAGGACATACTAATACCATACTCGATTCACACATATTCATGAAACAAAAAGTACACTTTTTCTGTACCCTTAGCATACTGCTTTTATACTTCTAGTACAATCCTAGTACATTTTCAGTACACTACTTGTGTACATTTAGTAAACTGCTAGTGCACTTCTACTAGACTATGATCACACTTCATGTAGACTGGAAGGATACTTTTAGTGTACTACCGAAATGAACTATTTGAGCGTGTTTCTGACGAAGCGCTTGCCTTGACACAGCCGAAAGCTGTGTCAGCCTTTGGACGCATGTGCATGTCCCACACGCGCGTGGACTCGAATCCAGATGGAACAGCTAACGCGCGCAAGTGAGGGGGACCAGAAAGACCCGACATGGCACGTATGCGTGTGTCTAGTGTGTTTTTGATGCGTACATTTCTTCCACGTTTCACAAGGGGAAAAATCTATTAGGCGAAGTGTTAAAACAAGAAATTAATATAAAGCAAGTGCTAGCAAGGACACGAACCTAGAGGTTCTATTCGCTACACATTGGAATTATCCACTTCTGATGGTATCGCGAATGCCAAAGATGCCTCTTAAACACGGCGTAGCAGAGACGCGTTCACGCATGCCTACATAGTGTAGAAAAAAAACGAGAAAATACGAGAGGAACGGAGTTTTTTTGCAACTACCATTGTAACCAGCACGCAAAACTATGAAATTAATACGATTTCCTGAAGTTGCTTCGAGGTGCGACCCATCGCACGCATTTCCATCGCAAGGCGCGAACGAACCTGACACGTAAATAAAACTTCACGGCATTCACTTACAATATCAACAGCGAACTACAAATACATGCGTCACACAGCACAATCAACCCTTTGGAAAGATTCTTGTCAGCGCCTGAGACGAAATGCGATAAGGTTGATACATGGCCCATTCCGCTGCTTCCGAGTCTCAAACTGGACGTCTGCCGGAGGCCCTTAAAAACGAGGGTCGAAATAGCTGGAGGATTTCACAGTCTGTAGACAGCTGGCCCTGCGACCACCTCCGATCCCGGCCCTGCTCTCCAGGTCAGCCGGATTGCCACTTCGTCCTCCTCGTCCGACGCTGCTTCCTCAGGCCAAGTTCAGCACTGCTTCGTCGGCTTCGTGCGGACTGTCTTTTCCCCTGTAACCACGTGCCCGCGTGCTTAACATTCTATGGGACCTTAACAATACCTTCACCTTCTTCTTTCAGCCTCACAAGGGCCGCCATTAGTTTGCACAGATGACATACACTGAAATGATGATAGTAGTCAAAGTTTCCAGGCTGAATTTCGAATAGGGCATATTGCCATCTGTGTATCTTTTTTTCCGAAATCGAAGGTTAATTAAAAGCATTTTTTATGATTATTCGGTACAATGCGACGATCAGCCACTTATGCTATGTCACCCTGGCCGCCTAACTCGATCATATGCCGAGACCGCTTTAGAGTATATTAACGACTTTTTTTTTAATAAATTTGTTTGAATTAAGTGAAACAAAGTATAGTGTGATATCAAGACCCTCACAAATATAAAGCGCAGTCTGTTTTATTTTTGTTTCAGACAGTATTTTTTTGTAAAAAAACAGCAATATTTTTTTTCTTTTAAAGTTACGAGGGGTGTTCAGAAAGTATTGCAATTTGGCTAAAACCAGAAGTCTGGCAGTGATGTCTTTATAATCGTGGGTTAGCTCATTTCTCTAGCCAAACATGTCCGTAATATCAAGACTTCCAGTTCCGCTTTTGGTCTGCACCAGTGAGTTAAACATGACGTCGTCTGTTTATTTAATACTTGAGTACCGGAGCGTGATAAAGATTATGAGAAAATATGGGAGTTTCACCGAGGAAGTGCACAGTGGAATGGTGAATGTGTGTGGCGATAAATTCCCTTCATATGCTACAGTAACTTGTTGGTTTAGCGAGCCATGTTGACGTGGTTTGCACGTCCACACGGTCGTGTGGACGTGCAAGACTACCCAAGGCCAGGGATGGCCCAGCACCTCGACTGAGTTGGATCATTCAGCCCGAGCTCGGAGCCTTATTGCGAAGAATCGCCAAATCGAGGTGTCCGAAGTTGCTAGATAATTGAACGTTAGGTAGGGCAGTGCTTTCGCAATCATCCATGGCGCTTTGGACATGTCGAAGGTCTCGGCACGATGGGTGCCAAGGAACCTCTATACGCAGTATCGACAGCATCGCCTGCATTCGTCAAAGGAGCTTTTGAGCATCTATGAAAGCGACCCAGATTTTCTTGCCGCCTTGTGACTAGGGATGAGACGGGGTTTACCATTGGGACCCTGAAACAAAACAAGTCTATGCAGTGGAGGCATTCGGGGTCTCATCTTCCGAAACATTTTAAGAAGCAACGCTCGGGGAAGAAAGTGACGGCGACAGTTTTTTTATGTCGCAGAAGGAATCCTACTGATCGATTATCTGGGAAACTGCAGGACAATATCCGGGCGAATACTATGTCAATGTTCTTCGCAAACTGCGTGAGGCCATCGCCGAAAAAACGAATAGGATTGGTGACAAGAGCCGTCCTCCTCCTGCATGACAACGCCCCCGTTCACGGGTCTCGCGTTGTTCAGGCTGTCATTCGAGATTTTGCTTTCGAAGAGCTTTACCACCCACCAGTCCTGATCTGGCTCTAAGTGTATTTTTTATCGTTGAAACTGAAAAAAAGAATCTAAAAGGAACAAGGTTCGATGACTTGAGTGCACCGCGAACTGCCAGAGAGCAGTAGCTTGACAAGCTGGAAGTTTTTTTGTTTTTTTTTTACGAGGAATCAAAAGTTTTTAAGGCAAATGGGAGAAGGGCATTATTGTAAGTGGCAATTATGTTGAAAGACACTTTTTTTAAAGCCCTGGTAGTTTTTGTTATATGCCAGTTGCAAAATCTTCTGATCTCCCCTCGTAACTGCATACATTTTGCTGCTCACAATTTTGTTTGGATATCGTAGGGCGAAACGTTGAGTGGTGGTCAGAAGCAACGCATCTCCCTCGCCCGAGCGGTCTACAGTGGCCGCGATATATACCTTCTGGACGACCCGTTCAGTGCCCTGGACCCCAAAGTGGCAGCTAAGGTCTTCGAGAAAGTACTGGGGCATAACGGCCTTCTGAAAAAGAAGGTATGGTATCTTTGAAAACATGAACATACCGGTGGCTTTCTCTAACTTCTTAAAATTTTAGAAATATATATTGCTGAAACTTGTAGGAAGAAATTGGGAATTTCGTAGTATATTATATTCTGCTTAGATTCGTTGGGTTTCAAAAAATTATACTTAAGCTGAAGGCACTAAACTGCATCAGCCCTAAGCAACCGATATCATCAAATTTACAAGTCCCAAGACCCGAAAGCAATCCGCTCAAAAGAATTCCTCAGCCCAAAGAAGCCGAGTGACTATCAAGACGTCAGATGATATTTTGAGACTTTTAGGATGTCCGTTATCAAGTGCCAAAGGTTAATCTTGATTTTAATTTTGGCTTGTTGAATGTTGCAACCAGAATGGATGCTTTGAATTAATACTCCTGGTAGGCGCACCGATGTGTGGGTGCCACCAATAAACTGGTGCGCCTGGTGCCCAATTTCACTGCACTTCATCATCCTCGCGGTCCTCTAAAACGTTTTTTTTTTTGTTTTTTTTAAGTTAATATTTCTTTGTTTACTTCTAAGCTTGCCTTTTGCTCCTAGTTTATTTGTTTTTTAAATGTTATTTTTAAGTCTATTCAACTGTTCTTCCGTCTTAATTTTGTTTGTCTTAGCTACGTTTGTCACTTCGTCTGCACTCTGGTTGGTCTGTTCGTCTGCCTTTTGGCATATTTGCCAATTTTTATTTTCTAACCTTTTGTTATACTGTGTTGAAGTGACACTGTTTGTTCGGATGCTTATATAGTATTTATGATAATATGGTTCATTCTTGTTTTGTTTTCCTCGTTTAATTTTAATTTTGTTTTCCCAATGCCGGTGTTCCACAGACCCGCGTCCTTGTGAGCAACCAGGGCAACTTGTTGAAGCACATGAACATCCTCATTTTGATGGACAAAAACACCCTTACCGTCTACCAAAGCCTCGAAGAGCTACTCCAAGACGAACGTGCTCCTAAGACTCTGAGCATCGGGACGTCAGGCCTGGTAAAGCGTGGACCTGCCGATAGTCAGTAAGGACGCTTCAGAAATCTGGAAACGCGTAATCAATATGTAGACTCACCAGATGTCTTAACAACATTGCGCGAACCGCGACCGACCTGTAGATCAGCGCCTTATTGCGACGTGAAAGAGCAACTCAGCGAGACTACGCGCGTGTGGCAGAAGGCACACGCCCAGCCTCGCTGACTTGCTGTTTCACGACGCGATAAGGCGCTGATCTACCAGCCGGTCGGTGTTCGCGCGGTAATGCGAGCAAATCCGGAAGCTGCTCGAACATTTTTACTGACAACCGTTTTTTAAGGCACCAATAAAGAGCGATAAACAATTAAGTATTAAGACACAATTAAGCCGGCTACGGTCCAGGCAGTCTAATCCGTGTTGGGAAAGAAGGGTAAAAAAAATTGAAAACTAAGGAGCTCTTCAAATTTGTTGGAATGATAACACTTGCGCCATTTTGCATACGTTATGATGGTATGCTATATACGCAGCTGTGATTTCAGTCGAGTGAACCTGAGAAATGTTAGTACAGCTTTCGCGGTCTCTGCTGCTCCTTTCTGAAGACGTTCAACGCCTTGAAAATTCGTTAGATGTAAAAGCTCCCAAATGCATCGGTTTGAAGGCGTCGAAATTTAGCGATGTTCCGAAAACTTTACCACTCGCAAGTTCAAACTTGAAACACTTATCTTACTGCATGTTTTCTGCGCCTGTAACTCTTGCTTCTATCGGAAATAGTAAGCAGAAGTAATCTCGGTTGTATATCTTAATTTCGTTTTCGTTTCCAGAACTCAGAAGTCACTATTAGAGAAAAATGAATCAAATGGACGACTTACCAAATTGGAATCACAGACGTCCTCCAAGGTAAAGTTATTTTGCTCTTAAATCAAGTTAGGCGAGAACTTAATGACGTAATATGAGATACTGTAAAACCCTTTATTTTCGCGGCCCCTATTTTTCGCGAATCGGTCACAGATGACATAATCGCGACCACTAAATTTCGCGAATTCCAGACGCCTGCTTTGAAAATCTTAAGGACCGAAATTTTCGCGCGCCCTTAAATTTCGCGAATTCTTCAATTGGTGAAATTCGCGAAAATTGAGGGCTCGCGAACATTAAGGGTTTTACAGTATATATAAAAAAAATCCTAGGGCATCTAAGCACTTCCAATGAATTGTAAATGCGAAAGAATAATGTCGTTCTTTCGCTCCCGAAAGTCGTCGGGCTGTATTAGCGGCGAGATGTTTTGGTGGCGCCCTCCTATGGTTCCCCCTTGTGACGTCATTACCTTGGGAACAACAAGTTCGATGGTGTTTGTAAATAGCATGGTGGAAGCTTGAAATCACTGCGCTCTCAAAGGAACACTGCCAACACCGTCAAAATTAAAGTTCTTTCATTCCTCTTATTTCCGTCGATGATAAATCCCCTTTCCTACGTCATAGTCAGCGTTCGGCCAATCGCGGAAGACCGACCACAGCGACGCTTTCGGTCGCGCACGGGGCTAATACTGGCGTGGACGGCCGCGTTTCGCTACTTCCGAGGTTGCGGTTGGCGGCCGAGCGCGTGCTCTCGTGAAGCGGGATTTTCAGGTACCACGAATAAATAAATAAATAAATATACCCTGGGAAAGGTATTGTGCGTAGATTATAGCGTAACGCTTAGGCATCGAGAATCGATCCCTTAATATGTGTGCATTTATTTACGGTTAGTAGACATTGAAGTTTGTTTTACGACGGCTTAGACAGCGGAAAGTTACTCTACCTTGAGACTGTATATGGTGAATCAGCTGAAAATGCGGAATTTGCCCAATGCACAACGACTGCTAACGTCTGTTAGCGTTATGGCGTCGCGCAGTCTAGCGACTACACGACCCAGCACTGTTACCAGAGGTGTCCATCTCTAGACGTGTAAGCCATTGTCCCAGGGTTCATACTAGACGCGAGGCTGGGTCAAGTTTTTGCGCGCAGGATCGCGTGTAAAGTGAACACTTTTCAACGTGCACTTAGCTTCGCGGTCACACGTCTACGGGTGTTCTTTGCGACGGCCGCATAAAATGGCGGTTGCTAAGCTGTACGTGAGACTGGATTTACGAGGCCGAGCGCGTCTCACGACTTTCCGCCGGCATGAAAGCGTAGGTTGCACGTGTCGATTCGACGCCTTCCATACGCACTAAACTACTGCATACATTCGCCCCCAAAGCGCCGTCAGATGTCGACACCGTATCCATCACCAGTACTGACGACAGTTACCGCTCATTCACACTGGAAGCGGATCCGCGTTCGCAAAGCGGTTGCGAACGCGGTTATTTAAAGATCCAGTACAATTGCACGCGCACTTGATGTCATCGAGTGCGCGTGCAATTGCACTGGATCTTTATACAACCGCGTTCGCAACCGCTTCGCGAACGCGGATCCGCTTCCAGTGTGAATGAGCGGTTAAAGTGCCTGAGCAAATTGTCCCTGGCGCACCTTTTCCATGTTGACGCCCATATACAGAATTGTAAAGTAAGCGGCAGCCTATGTCGTTTCATGGTCTCAATCCGCCTCATATTTTAGTATAATGCTGCAGTGCACAACATAAGAGTTTGAGATTTCCTATATTCTGACTCCAGACGGGCTGTGAGGACAGTAGTCGCACCGAACTGGGGGCATTGCTGAATCTTGTTTCCAAGGTCTGCAGTGAAATTAGCGTCTACCTCAGGAACAGCAGTTGCTTACGTCGGCTTTCTTAGCATCTCTATCTAGAGCGGGTGACACTAAACGGGCTTGAGCGAGTCGTAAGAAACTGCCTGGAGCTGAGCAGATTTGTTTGAAATGCTCCTGAAGGTTTCCAGCTGAACGTAGAAAGAAAAACGGAGAAGAGAAAAATAGACACACACTGCTGGTTTGTCCTTTTCTTACCTCCTTCCTTTTTTCCTCCACGTTCAGTTAGAAACCTTCAGGAGTAAACAGGATTCCCCAGGGACCACACCAGATAGACGCCTTTGGTGCTACGCAGGTGTGATCGAGATGCCTCGTTCCGATATGGACATCCGACAGGTACATTAACGAGGCTTACGCCTGGGTCGACTTCATGGTAGAATGCAGTCAGCTACAGCCGGGCTAAAATTTACAGGTGACGATTAGCATCCCAGGCTGAACTCGAAGGCCCCAGTCAACTTTCAGTTTCCCTGTATGTTCTGATGGAGCTGCTTCAGGCTAACTTCAGTGTAAAAATCTGACCGCACCAAGCCGACCGCAGTCTTGAGCTTCCAGACCACCAAAAGTTCAGTGGGTCAACCACCACCTCATGTGTCGATGCTAGTGTGATAGCAGCATTTCGGTTATTAGTCACCCAATCCAAGCTTTTTTAAAATATGTTGAAGCTTCTGAACCACACGCTCGGCTGCCCCATTGGAAAATGTGCGATTATGGATCATCTATGAAAGAAGAGAAGTCATCGCAGCCAAGAAAGTGCACCTGCACGCTCGTTGCACCAGACGAAAGACGGCTCGGTGAAAGATACACCTCAACAACATTGCTTCCGGCATCTGAGTAATGCCCTGGAAAAATGTCTGGAGGCCCTTGGTGGCACCAACCAGCTTGCCGTGAACCCTTCACCTACACCAAACCCATTGTACCGGATCTACACGCCCACGACACACAAGACATTTCCACATTTCCAAACTAAGAAAAATCGTCGTCGGGGTTTTTATAATTGTACTTAACAATTGAGTATACATAATGCGTCATCGTTATAACGTTACGTACAAATCACTAGCTCTATAATTATGATTTTTGTGTCAATTCCGACCATCTTCCCGGAATTCTGCCTCTATTTTTTTCGCTTACCAACACAGCGTTACGGTGGTGGAAGCACCTGTCAGATGCCATTATTATGCGAAAATGTCTTGGATGCTCCGCTTATAAAAGTTGGACAGTTCTCAGATACAACCACATAGACAGCAATCAATGCCGAAGGGTGTCAATAGAAATATCCCGATCCTTTATTAGATTAAAGGCTTTGTTGTTGGTCTTGTGCCTAGAAACATTTAAATAATCGAAAAATTAAGTCGTTTGTGCACGAGTCGTTAAGAACGTTAGGAATATCTTGCGCATTTGCTTATCCCATCAAGCCATTATTCCACCAATGCTTTAGGTTGCGTTAGAGAGGCCACCGAATTTGCCGTTGTCGTCCGTCACACGTTTATTACATGTAAATAGCAAAGTGCTAGCTGTGTTTTGCTTGTAATCAAGCATGGTTCACACATACTTTTGATATTAACTCGCTAGGATAAGGGAAGGCCATATAAGTGAACCTTCAGAAAGAACTTATAACTAATCAATGTGATAACATTCCTTATTGGTTGCGGACGCTGCTCAGAACTGCACTTAGTGGCTGTGTATGGACACGCAGGACCAAGATACAAAGCTTCAGTGCAATGGGCTGAACGGTGCCTATGGCTCAGTTCCACAGCGAATGGTGAGGGCAAATAAATGTCGCAGTGCTTACAAACAGACAATGATATTGAACAGAGCCATTGGCAGCGTTACTAAAGACCACCTTTTAGATCGAACTCCCAGATAGAATAAAAAAGATTATCTGGTCGATAGGAGTTATCCATACCACGTAATTTTTTAAGGGATAAGAGAGCACTCCCTATTGAAAAAAAACAGCTTAAGCTGGTCCCAGCTTCAAGCTGGGTTATTGCCCCAGCATGACCACCCTGGCATGCTGGTCATGCTGGTTGATCTGGTCCCAGCTTCAAGCTGGGTTATTGCCCCAGCATTCCCAGTTTGGCATGCTGGTCATGCTGGTTGATCTGGTCCCAGCTTCAAGCTGGGTTATTGCCCCATGCATGCCCTTTGGCAGGCTGGTCATGCTGGTTAAACTGGTCATGCTGGTGAACTTCCCAACCAGGTTAACCTGTTTAAATTAATACACAAGATAAACAAGCCAAGCTCTTCAGAAAAGCCAACTCGACATCCAATTTATTATTTTCGTACTTGCGGCCGCCTCACATGAACTCAGATGCTACACATCCTCGGCGCTGACACAGTACAAACCGACGCACAGACAGTGGTTCTTGGTGCAAAGCCTACAATATTAATAAAACGAGATTGCTTATCTTTCAACACGAAAAATACTAGACACACGCCAAAAACAGGCAATAGCAAACGAAAATACTACATGGATGAGAGGAGCGAACCTGGGTCCCGCCAGTGATGGGAGCGAAGCGGCAACTTGCGTGGTCGGCTGAGGCGAGGAAATCCGTGTGGCTTGGATGACATTGGCGATACTCCTCGGCACCGTCGTCATTCTTGAGCACACACACGTTCGAATACATGAAGCGACGCCTCAGTCGGGACGTCCGACATCTTCCCGCACTGAACAGACTGCCACTCGCTGTCTCCTCAAAACCCGCTTCGCTTGCACCGTCATTCAACTAGTCTCCAAACAACGCGCACACAACCGCCCCTTCGAAAATCTGTCCAAGATAGCCAAACGCGTCGCAAATTCTCCGTTCCTGCCACTCTCTCTCTCTCTCTCTATCTTTTTTCGCACACAAAGGTAGCTTGCAGCGCGCCTGACGCGCCCGGTCGTCTACCAAAAACGAGAGGACAAAGAACAGGACGTGGCCTCGTTCCAGCCTAAGCCGACCTTGGCGCGCGCGCTCCCAGCAATGTCAGTTCGGCTATCTCTAGCCGACCTTGGCGTGCGCGCTCCCAGCATGACCAACTTGACCACCACGATCATTAGTCCAACCAGATTCACCAGCTTGTCTTCCAGCATAACCAGCTTGTCTCCCAGCTTGACCACATTGGCTCCATGGAAAACCAGTTTGACCATTTAAGACCAGACTGGCTCCCAGCTACACCAGATTG